ACGCCATGCTGCTTGCGTACACCCACTGGTACACGCCGTGCCCAGTGTCGGCCAGCACCGTGCCGATCTCACACGGGCCCTGGCTGGTCTGCGGCCCACAGGTCATCTTTGGAGAAAAGCAAGAGGAAAATCACCGAGCAGCGGTGAATGGCCAGGGGAGTGGGCGTCTCCCAGAAAGAGAGGATGAAAGAGAGGCTGTTACTGTGGAAAGCGAGTCAGGGTGAAACCGAGTCCGTGCCCTTTGGGGGTGCCTGTCACCAGGACCCCAAGGGGCACCTGACTTAGGAGGCTGGGCACGGTCCGGGGGAGGGCAGAGGAGACCAGCCAGGCAGGCTCAGGGCAGCTGTCCCAGAAGCCAGCTGAGCCTCAGGACACTGGAGGTGACGCCAGGCCAGGAGGGGGACAGGAGCAAGGACATGTGCCCCGCCTCGCAGCTGCCCGGCAGGAGCCAGTAGCCCTTGGGGAGGCCCCGACCCTGGGGAGGCGGGTCTCGGGTCCTGGTGTGGTAGGCCAGCGCCAGACCCCTCCCCTTCCTGTGCTCAGGCCTCTGTCCATCCAGAAGTCCCCGGTGCGTGGCTCCATCCGCCAGGGAGAGCCCCACGTTTGCAACAGTTCTGGGGAGAGGCCGTCCGTCTCTTCCTTTAAAGATGGACGGTGGGCCCTGGCCGGTTTAGCTCAGTGGATAGAACGTTGGCCTGCGGAGCATAGAACCTCCCGGGTTCTATTCCGCTCAAGGGCACAGGCCCGGGTTATGGGCTCGATCCCCAGTGGGGGGCATGCAGGAAGCAGCCCATCCATGATTCTCTCTCATCATTGATGTTTCTCTCTCTCCCTTCCTCTCTGAAACCAATAAAAATAGATTTAAAAAAGAAGATGGAAGGTGGCACACAGAACCCCGATGCCGTTTGTCTTAAAAAGTGGAAGGGCTTTCGGGTTCTGAACCGAGCCGGTGAGCAGGGGCCTCCGCTTCGTGAGCAGGAGCCACAAGGGGAGGAGGAGCTGCGTGGCGTCGGGTGGGGTCCGGCTCCCGGGAGCCACCTCCTCAGCGTCCGCCAGCCCGAGGGCCTCTCACCTCCGAGGCCTTGTCCAGCCAGAAGCCCAGCCACCAGTTGCTGAAGGCGGTGCTGCCGATCATGAGGAGGAAGAGCGTCACGGTGAAGAGGGAGAGGAGGTAGCCTGCAGGGAGGAGAGGCCGCGGTGCCGGGGGCAGCCGGCTCCCTGGGCCCCGCCTGATGGAGATGAACCTGCCGGGAAAGGCCCTGCCCTGGGAACCACCCTCCAGGCTGGCGGACGGGTCTGGGGGTTGCGCCCCTGAACCCACGTGCGGGCACCCGGCCGCCTGGTTGGAAAGTAGGTCCAAGTTGTCAACTTTTGGAAAAACCACCAATACGCACTGAGATGGAAGTGACTCCGAACTCTTTAGGGACAAACGGGGAATGCCCCGTCTTGCTGGGAGCGAAGGGAGGTGACTGTCTAAGTCAGCCGTGGGCAAACTACGGCCCGCGGGCCGGACCCGGCCCGCTTGAAATGAATAAAACTAAAAAAAAAAAAGACTGTACCCTTTTATGTAATGATGTTTCCTTTGAATTTATATTAGTTCACACAAACACTCCATCCATGCTTTTGTTCCGGCCCTCCGGTCCAGTTTAAGAACCCATTGTGGCCCTCGAGTCAAAAAGTTTGCCCACCCCTGGTCTAAGTGCTTTGCGCCCGAGCTGATGGGGGGAGCGCTCAGTGACGGAGAGGAGGCCACAGAGGCGCCCCGCTGGGTTACACCGCCGCCCCCCATTTCCTTCCCACAGACAGAGCCCAGCAGCCTGAACGGCCATAAAGGGCGATGCCGTGGGAAAGGCCGTATTGTCCGACTTGATATTCTTGGGGGGCGGGGGGGAGTGGTGTGGGGGGAGCATTGATAAACAGCCTTCGCCTAACGAGACGAATCATTAAAGAGATCGTGAACACATGAACCCAGGCGTCTAAGAAGGAGTGCTTTTAAAGGCAAAGTACGTCAGGAAACCCGTTGGATGCCAAACCTCCAGCCGCCTTAATGTACGTGTGATACGTCCTCCAGGTCACGGCTCCTTCCCGGGGGGGCTGGGTCTGGACGAGCTGGTTCAGAGGGGCTGTGGGGACAAACACCAGTCCTGGGCTCCCCTGGGGGAGTGGGGGCCGTGGGCCAGGGGACCCTCCCGATTCCCCAGGCCTCCCCCAGGGCAGGCACCGCCCCTCCTGCCCTTTCCCTGCGCCTTCACGTTCCCAAAACACTTCCGCTCCTTTGATTTTGTTTGGTCGCGCAGAGCTGAGGGAGTGGGTGGCACGCACCTTTGACGTCTATGAATTCTGAGTACGTGTCGGATTCTTTTTCTTCCTCTTTTTCATCGGGAGCCAGAACTAGGGTGAGAAAGGGAGGGGTCTGTGTCCACTGAGCCCCAGGTAACACAAGAGGCAGTGATTCCAGCGCCGCTCAGACCCGCACCTTCGTCTCTGTCCGCGGGGCCCTCCTGCAGGGCCTCCACCATCGCCGCGTTGTAGATGTGCTCAGGGTCCTGGGGGCAGAACCAGTGCCTTCTGCAGGCGCAGCGAGAGACTGCCCCAGCCGGACACCGAGGGGAGGCCCTATCCGGGCGCCCAGGCCCCGGGCCCCCGCACGCCGCTACCTTGAACTGCAGCCCCCGGAGGTTGTGCACCAGCTTTGCGTAGCGCCCTCTCTCCTCCATTAGCTCCTGGTGGGTTCCCTTCTCACAGATCTCTCCATCTTCCAACAAAATGACCTCGTCACAGGACTCCAGGAACTGTGGGGGGTAAAGCCACTGCAGTGAGCACCGGCTGCCTGAGGGGGGCCACATATCCCCGGCCCTGCTGCCTCCCTGACTGTCCGGCTGAGGAGAGCCCAGGGCTGGAGAGGAGACCGCGGCGCCGGTGCCACACCCATGCCATGGGCGTCCGGTCACCTGCAGCTGGTGCGTCACCAGGACGACCGTCTTGCCGCGGAGCGTCTTCCGGATGCACTCCTCGAACACGTGCTTCCCCACTCGGGCGTCCACGGCCGACAGCGGGTCGTCCAGCAGGTAGACCTCGCGGTCCGAGTAGACGGCGCGGGCCAGGTTGATCCTCTGTCTCTGCCCCCCCGAGAGGTTGAGGCCCCGCTCCCCGATCTGCGGATCGGGCAGTGCTCCTGCTCATCACCACGCCCCAGCTCCCCCCTTCCCCGCAGGGACCCCGACAGCACCCGTGCCCTGGGGGTGCTGGGAGCCTGTGGGCAGAGGTGACTGGGGCGCAGCTCTTCCCAGCACCGAGTGAGGGGCGCCTGGCTCACTGTCCCAGGTGCAGGCCCATCGGGAGGGGCTGTGTCCGGATAGCTCGCCCCAAGAGAGTGGAGGGCAGGAAGCTCGGGGAGGGGGACAGGCTCCCCGCAGGGAGGCGTGGCTGGGAGCAGAGGGACCAGCCTCCAGGGCAGTGTCTGGAGGGGACCTGGTCCTCCTGGGCCCACAGAGGCAGTGAGGCAGAAAGGGGCCCTCGAGACCAGCCACAGACCAGCACCTGGCCCCCCATCCTCCGAGGATGGGGCCACCTCGGGGAAGCGGGCAGCGTGAGGTTGACGTGCTTGGCTGCCAGCAGCAGGACCCTTGGCTGCCTCTCCAGAGGCAGATGGGAAGTGGTCCCAGGGGCGGCCACGCTGGAGCCAACACAGGTGGGGTTGGTGCCACCTCCACTGTGACATCCCTCAACCACAGGCCCAGATGAGAGTCCGAGACGGGGGACCTGACTTTCCCGCATGTCCTGGCACCGTTCTGGCCGCGGGGCATCGGGTGTGGACGGAGCTGGGCTGCCCTTTGGCCCTGGGCAGTCGGGCTGCCCGATGCCGCCGTGGGGCCGAGCCCGCCCGCTCACCTCGGTCAGGTCCCCGTAAGGCAGGCTGCTCAGGTCCTCCTGGAGGGCGCAGACTCGCACCGTGTGCTGGTACCTGTGGGCGCGAGGGTCAGAGGTCAGCGCAGTGAGGAAGACCCGCCGCCCGGGTTGCACCGGAGACACTGCTGTGGTCCCTGGGCAAGGGAGGGCGTGGCCAGTGCTTTGTCCTGAATGTCCAAGGGCAGCTGCCCCCGGACCCTGTGCCCTCCAGCTGATAGAGGGACCGGACAGCCCTTTCCTCAGGGTTCCCACCACGAGGTGGCGCCAGTGGCTGGCACTGCTCCTGGGAGTCAGAGGAGGGGCCTCAGGCCTCCACTCTGCCCTTCGATAGCTTTGACCTTGGGCAGGTCAACGTTCCTCTCTGGGCCTCAGCCTCTTCCTGGGTGAGAGACGGGGATTCGTGGCCAGGATCCCCCAGATGGGTGGTTCTGGAACTCATGAGGGACTGGACCGGGCAGCCTCCCTGACTCGGTGAAGAACCTGGGGAAGCAGAGCTGGGAGGCTGGGGCCCCGGTGTCTGCAGAGTCAGGACTGGAAGGTTGCGCTCATTCCCTTTGGCCACTGTGGGACGTCAGCAGAAGCAGCAGATCCCGTGGCCCGCGGCCAGGTCCCGGCTCAGCGCTGCTCGACTTCAAGCCACGGCCAGATAGACCTTCCTGCGGCCGGACAGCACGTGCAGAGATGGAGACCAGGAGCCCGGCGCCCATTCCACGTGTCCTGGAGTGCGACCCAGGCCTGCAGGGGGCGCCTCCTGGACTCGGGTCAGGAAGGGGACCACCGGCGCCCGTGCATCCGGGTCCGATCGGCTCCTGCAGCGGAGGGTCCCGGACACGGCAGCTCCTGCCCCGAGTGAGCATTACCTCTGGTGGTCGTACTTGGCTCCGAACAGGATGTTCTCCCTCACGCTCCCGTGGAAGATCCACGCCTGCTGGGACACGTAGGCCAGGGTCCCGCTGACCGCCACCACCCCCTGCTGCAGCTGCATCTGCAGGCACAGAACCAGGTCCCTCAGAGCTGACCCGCCGACGGCTCCCGGGCCCATTGGACACCTGTGCCCCTTCTCCCGTGAGCTTTAATCCTGAGGGTGCGAGAGGGGGACACTATCTCATCCACGGGCTGCAGAGCCCAGCCGTGCAGGCCGAGGGCTTCGACGTCAAACACCTGCAGGGGGCCAGGCAGGAACATTCTGGAAGAGGCAGCCGAGGGGCCTGCTGCTGGCTGCCAAGCACGTCAACCTCACGAACATGACCTTTCACTCTGCCCAGCTGCAGGGGCCACTGTTCTCACGGACCCAGCACACAGCAGCAGGGACCCTGACATCGCGGCGAGTCCACCCGCACAACTCACCTGGCCCAGCAGAGCTGCGATGAGGGAGCTCTTCCCGCTCCCAATGTTCCCGCAAATCCCCAGGACCTTCCCCTGCAGAGAAACAGGAAAGAGACTCTGTTGCTCCCCTGTTCTTACCGGGTCTGGGGACAAAGGTGTCGCCTCCACACTGTGCAGGTGGGGACCACGGTGGCTCCAGGTGGTGGCGGTGCAACCTCGGACCCGGCCAGACTCAGCCAGGGAGGATGCAGGGACCCGAGTGTTAGTGAAGCGCCCCCCGCCTCGGGACACACACCCTGGATGCGAGGCTTGTCCTGCACCCAGGCTCCAGGGGAGGAAATCTAACCGAGGTGATGCTCGTTGGGGGCGGACAATGAACAAGCAGAGTAGGAAAGGTTCGCAGTGTGGGGAGTGCACACCACGGGAACGCGGGACGGGAGCTGGGGAAGCCTTCCCGGAAAGACACCCGTCTCGGTTGGTCCTCCCCGACACGGCCCCAGCCAGAGACCCGCGTGGAAGCGGGAGGTGCGGGCACCAGCGGGCCCAGGGCACCCGGCCATTCTGTGAGTCGTGCCACTGCTTGGGGCCATCTCAGTGCCCTGTCTCCTCCCTGTCCTCGGCAGAGAGCCCACGAGGCCTGGGCTTCTGATGATTCACTTGTTAAAAATAAAATAAAATACAGACTCTGTCTCGCAACCTACGGGCGGGCAGCGCCCCCAGGCCCTGGCTGGCCTCCCATACTGGCTGCGTGTGGGTCGCGCTTTGCTTTTAAGCAGAGCAGCACTGCAGGCGGCGAAGAGCAGTCCCGGCCAGGCGCCTGGGGGTTAGCTTCCCATGCCTCAGGCTCCTGACCCTGAGCGGGTAGCCATGGCGCCCACCTCGCAGGGTGAGGAGGTGTCAGAGGAGTTGAGTGTGTTCCTGCTCATGAACACCAGCCGTTGTGAGCCGCCTGTGTGCTCCAGGTCAAATTGAGAGCATGTCTGAGAACGCTTATGGGAGCCCGTCCGTTTGAGCCCGACCACCTGCTGGACGGTGTAGTCCACATGGATGTGGGCTCCAGGTCCTTCGAGGTTTGCAGATGGGCATTGACATAGCCGCCACCTTCTCTCAGCTCGGAGAGGACGACCCCGTTGTGCGGGTCCATAGTTTTAACGTTAGGGGAAGTGCCCTGGCCGGTGTTGCTCAGTGGTAAGAGCGTCGGCCTACGGACTGAAGGGTCGCTGGTTCAATTCCCGTCAAGGGCATGTACCTGGGTTGGGTTGCAGGCTTGATCCCTGGGGTGTGTGCAGAAGGCAACCAATGGATGTGCCTCTCACATCAATGTGTCTCTCTGTCTCTACCCCTCCCTGTGGAGAGCGGCTACAGTGTTTGGACAGGTTCAAGCCTCAGACTAATGAGAGGGCACAGTCCTCTCATTGCCACGTGCAAGTCCCAGCTTGGAGGGCAGGACCCTCCCAGCACAATTATAGCCAACAGCTGTAGTTGTGAGCTTGAACCTGTGGTCCGAACACGTGGCCCCACGTGCTTGAGTGATGTGGGCTTGATAGAGTTCAGGTGCATGTAATTGAGTAGGATTGAAACCCAGGAGAATGTTGTAAACATCTTGACCACGCCCTTACTTTGCCTTGTGGCATCTGCTATAAAATAAAGACACGGCTTGTAGCCCATGGCGCTCTCTCCATCCGAGAGGGCAGCGTCCCACTGAGACCCAGCTTTCTTCTCTTATCTGTCTTTTCTAATCCTTCGCCGCCCCCTCTCAGGGTCACTGAACCTGGCTGAGCTGGCGGCACATAAGGCGCCCTGGGGCTGAGTATGCCATGGCCGTGCCAGCTCGCCACACCTCCCTTCCACTCTCTCAAATCCAACAGAAAAAGTATCCTCGGGTGAGGATTAACAAAACAAACCAAGAAACAGTAACAACAAAAATTCAGAGAAGAAAGCCGCCTGGTTAGAGACATCCCGCCCCGCCTCCAGCCCAACCTGAATGCCCCGGGGCCTTGCGAAGGCGAGGCTGTGTGCCCCCGCTGAGCGGAGGGGCCGAGGGACGGGCCAGCCTGGAGGTCCGGACCCACCTTCCTCACCACGAAGCTGATGTTGTGCAGGACCGACTTGCTGCCACCGCTCCGGTCCTCCGGGCCCGCGGCGCCTGGGGCCGAGGCACTCGGCCTGTACGTCTCCGACCTCTGTTTCGTGAGAAGGTGCTTTTCCTGCTTCTCCGCTTTCTTTACGTCGCTTTCCCGGCCGGCCTCTTGCTCCCACGTCAGGGTGGCATTTGCTAAAAGCAAGACAGTGCCTGTGCCTTCTGGTTGGGTGATGTAGGAGGGGGGGCTTCTGGCTACGAGAATTCTCTAAGATCAAAGAAACAGAATTAACTGGTAGAGGCCATCCGTTGGCAGGAATCACCCCAGGACACCTCTAGCCACCTCCAAACACAGTCTCGGCGGGTCTACCCTTGACGTCCGGGGAGGGCGACTGAGGCTGCTCCCCCAGGAGGACCTGCGACTGAAGGGGTCCCCTGGCCCCGACCACGGAGGACGGTGGCTCTTTAACCACCAGGCCTGTGGGGGTCACCCACACGGAGAGGACCCCTCCCAGCTGCGTTTTACCCTCACACCCACGGTAGCAGCTTTTTAAAAAATATTTTTAATTGATTTTAGAGGAAAAGGGAGAGGGGGAAAGAGCGAGAGACACAGCAATGATCAGAGGGGTGGCCGACATTCTAACAGCTCTGGGGACCTGGCCGTGTGACTGGGCGTGAGGAGGACAGTGCCGGGGAAGGCGCTGGTCCCTGCGTCCCTGCGATGGTCCAGACGAGGGGATGAGGCATCGAGTGAAGGTGGGGGCCCGGGGCCAGAAGGAGTCAAGAGAGAGCAGTGCCCTCTGGTCTGAGACATCCGGTATCAGCATTAGCACAGGTCACAGGACGGCGTCCATTCTTTTGGTCAAAAAGGGATCATCCAACAGTGTGCCTTCTAGGCAGTCTCACACCCGGCGGCTTTTTAAATAGGGGAATACGTGGCCCGGAGATGGGTCAGCAGGGCCCTCGGGGGCAGGTGTGGACGGTGAGGGAGAGAGGGATACGGACACTGAGCGTGCGCAGGTGGCCTCTGGCTGCAGTGAGTAACGTCTCTCCATCCGTTTGCAGATATCGAGCCTGCTTCTCTCTCTCTCTCTCTCTCTCTCTCTCTCTCGCCCTGGCCAGGAATTGAACTGGTGACCTGGCCACCTCTTGGTTCATGGGTCACCGCTCAACCACTGAGCCTGCTGCTCTCTTGACCGGAACGCCCTCACCTCAACGTCACAACCACCGTATCTGCCCTTCCCGTGCACCACGCAGCCCCGCACCGTGTACGGCAGGTGCTGGGGGGCCTGGTCCTACACTAGGCCAGTCCAGACTCTCTCCTATGTCTGTGCGTTTCCCACAATGCCGTGTGTGGGGGAAGCACAGTCAGTCTTTGATGAGCAAATAAACGAGTGAATAAAGTGGCTGAGTGGAGGATAAATAGGGTGCCCCATCACTCCCAGCACCACACTCCTTGCAGCACAAACCAGACGGGGGGCGGGGTGGGCTGTGTGCACACCCAGCCCCGCTCCCGGAACCGCCTCAGGTCCGCGGCTTGGACAGGAGCGGGGCTCAGTGATCGTCTGTCTGTAGAGCCTCCATCTCGTTTTCCCTAAAAGGGGGGCCACCTAGAAGCGCGGCCCGTGCCCTCCTCCACCCGCAGGTGTGCGCCCCGCCTCCCTGGGGGCCTTCTCCCCAGTGGCTGGGCTCGGCTTCCCTTATCTGGGAGTCTCCCCCCCCAGAAAGGAGACCTCTCTCCCCTACTCACCCAGCGTGAGTTATACCTTCATTCTCCTCAGGGAGACGCTGGCTTCGGCCGCCGCCTTGACGGAGAAGGGCAGGATGGCGATGGAGAACTTCATCACGTTGAACATGGCGATCACACTGAATGCCTGCCGAGCGGGGGGTGGGGGGGGGGGTTAGGGGAGGACCGGGGTCAGGACGGGTGTGGCCTTGGCCCCGGACCGTGACGCCCCGGGGGGGAACCGAGGTGCAGCCGCAGAGGTCACAGGTCGGCAGATCGGGTAGCAACATCTCAATCTGTTTGTCTTTTGGGTTTTCACCAAAATGGTGGGAGCCGTGTCCCAGCCTCTGCCAGTCCACAGGGGGCGGGGCGGGGGAGGGCCGCTCACTGATGCCCTGGGAAATCTCCACCCAAACCACAGTCGCACTCGTCCGACCGTTCCCTCCAGGCCACCCAGGTGTCCCCCATCCCCCCTCCTCCTGGATGCT